GAAAGAAAATCGGATAGTATGTATATGTATGTTTAATTAATTAATGATTAATATTGTGTGGATTTTAATTTGATTAGGGTTCGAGAAGACAGTTGATGGGTGCTGTGGTGTGGGGTTGATCGAAATGGGCCCACTGTGCAGCGGCCTGGCGTGTCGGGACCCATCGAGGTATATATTCTGGGACGCCGCTCACCCAACGGAAGCAGCTTACACCGTTCTTAACAGAAACTTCCAGAACAACGTGCTTCCCTCTCTTTTGAGCTAGAATCTTTAGTGTCTGTTTATTCTATTGTTTTATTTTTATTATTAATTAGGATTTATTGGAGTGTTACGTAATAAATTAGATAAACCTTACTATGGCGACAATTAATTTCATTGCAGAATGTTGCTACTTTTTACTTTATCTTACTACCTTTTCTTTTGTTGAATGATTTGAATGTGAATATTCGTTTTTAATACTACTAAGTAGTTTTGATTTCAGTTATAACTGATTGTTAATGAGTTGCTTAAACACGTACATGTTAACCCAAGCTATTTCGTTAAAAGCTAAATAGCTATTTCTTTTTGGGCCAAAGTCTTGTATGATTTTTCTTCATTTGGATAACATGATGTTGCGTCTTATTATGACTCTATCATATCAATTTTTTTTAGTAAAATAAATCAAAGTTTCGAAGAAAACAAAAATAATGCCGGAACAATCTATGAATCTAAGTTGTGGCAAGGGCACTTGGTATTTGCTAGGTAGCGAACTAGGGTATAGCACATAGGCGCCTAGATGGGGATTAGATCGAGTTTAGTTGGGGCTCATGTAAAAAAAATTATACATTTATTTATATTATTATCATGCATAATATGAAAATAAATTTAATAAAATATACTAATTAATATGAATAAATACAAATATTTTTAAAATTAATTAATATTTATAATTATCATGTTAAGTTCACATGATTATTATTGTTTACTTTTATAGGTATTGTACATAAATTGTATAAAATATATATATATATGTTAAAACGAAAATATAAGAAAAATTATGGGTGCCTAGGCAACATCTGGTCCACGTAGAGCGACTCATTAATAATTATTTCACAATTGCTAGGACTAAATAGGCGCTAACTAGGGGTAAGGCTACAATTCCGTTACGGTTACAAATTCTAACGGAATGGTTCCATAAGGGAATTGTAGCATTTTTCGCTAACTAGATTACTAGACTTGCCCATGATTCCGAAGTCCGAAACCGACTACATCATGCATAAGAAAACTAATTAAAATAGATGAACATATATGTAATTTAATCAACCAATTTAATCATCAAGATATTGAATGTACAACTAACCATGTTTTGCCCCACCAAAATTACACTCCATCGATCCCAACATCTCAAATTTGAAATTATATTTCATTCACAATATCTCAAAATCCATACGAACAAAGGCCAAATCCCATTTGCTAGCTAATAAAAAAGAACATAAACAAAAATATAAGTTTTCGATAATCACGATTAACCATTTACACAAGCATGAAAATACATAGAACATCATAAGATTCAGATTTAATTAACCGAAAAAAGAATAAACCATATCAAAATAAAAATTCATTATTTGAAAAAACACACATAAAAATATGAATCATGAATCTTGTGCATTTTAGTCAAATTATTGGCAATTATTGGCCACCAACATAGACCTTTCCTAAAATGGCAAAAGAAACAACATAGACCTTTCCTAAAATGACAAAGCTCCGGGCGCCAAATTATTGGCGACCAAACTAGCCAAGGCCACCGGGCCTTTGGTCACCAAATCCACCTTAGCCAGCCCCGAGCCGTGCCAGAACACAGACAACCCGAACCCCAAAATCTCCCTCATCGTGAGCCCACACGAAAAGAACCCTTCCAAGTATAGAGGCTCCAGCTCGAAAAACGCGTTGAGAAACCGCCTCGTCCCCCCGAGATCCAACCTCAACAACATCTCCATCCCCAAGTTGTAAAACTCTCTCTCCCGTCTCCTCTCGGCCGGCCACAAACTCTCCCAAGGCGAGCCCCCATGCGCAATAGACCCCGCAACTTCCGGTGCCAACGCCATCATCCTGGTGAGCATGTACGCGGTGGACGGGTGCACGAGCCCCGAGTTCCCCCCCATCGCCACCACGCGCTGGGGGATCCTCGGGAGCGGGCCCCCCATCAGAATCGCGCACTTCTCGTCCTCCACCACCTCACGCACGCGTATGCCCCAGTGCCTCAGCCTCGCCACCAGCCTGTCCCGGACCTCCGTCCCGGACATGGCTGGCCGGCTCACGAGGGAAGTCTCCTCGAGAAATATCAAGTTCGGCTCGAGGGGCATCGCGTACAAAAAGGTCGGGAGTTTCGAGTTGTTTTTAAGCAACTGCGGATCGTTCGCGAGGTGGGAGTCCCGGTAGTCCATGAGGACCATTTTGTTCAAGTCGAACGGGTGTTCGTCGACCTCGGCTAGGATGCCGTGCGCGACTTGGTACCCGGGATTTCCGCGCCGGTCGTGCTCCACGAAACCGCTCGCGAACCCGCCCGCATCGACTATCAGGTCTGCCGCCAGGCGGGTCCCGTCATCACAGACGATTATCGAGGAGGACGACTCGAACTCGCCGTGCTCGACTCTCCGAACTTTGGCCTCGTGGAATTTGACCCCGTTCGCGGTGCAGTGTGAGAGGAGTTTCGACTTGAGGGCCGAACGGTCGACTCTGGCGTACGCGCGATCCAAATCTCGGCTAGTTTGGTCGTCGATGTAGACGGAGGTGACGGGCCATATCTTGTGGAGGCAGTCCTCGAATCCTAAGCTCTCGAACTCGTCGACCCAACCTCCGTAGTTGTTGGGCCACATGGAAAGTGGGGAAGGGTCGACGCAGCATACTTTGAGTCCGTGTTGGGAGACTTGCTCCGAGACCCGGAGGCCGGCTGGGCCGGCACCGATGACGATCACGTCGAACCGGGTCGGATCAATGGGGTTGAGTCGAGGGAGGTCGAAAGTCAATGGTTTTGGTTTCGACTTGGGTTCCAAATCAAGAGAGTTTGCGATTTTTGTGCTTCTTTTAACTATATCGTGATCGTTTCTTGATCGGTTTCGGAAGGAAGGACGACCGGGAAATGGAGGCTTGGGAAGGAAAAAAGAAGGCCTTGCAAAAGAGAGTGGGGAAGTTGGATGTAGCCCAAACAAAGACGCCATGAGAGAGGGAAATGGCATAGGAAGGAATGGATTGTGCAGAACTTGGAAAGGGGGTTCTTTATAGTTGCGATGCGTAAACAATGGTGATTAAAACATAAAATAGAATGCTTATAATACGTGGTCAAACTATGCAAACTTCAATTTGCACATTTAATAAACAAAATACGGTATCTTTATTATTACAAAGTTGTAATGGGACTGGCCTTCATACAACAATAACAACATAAAGAATTATTTCCTGTTGACCCGAAATAAGTTGCGCGAGTCCTTCAGAATTTACAATAAACGCCGTCTGATCTTAGTGCACTAATAACATGCTTTGAATGCTTGGTCAACTATATCCCGAACTTCAACATTTGCTCATTCAAATATGCGTCAATTTAAAATTTGTAACGCGTGATTGGTTATAAAATATCTTGTCGTTTTCTATCAAATAATTTATTTTTATTTTCAAAATTTAAATTAAATACAACTCAATTCAACATTTATGAGTATTTATATATAGGGAAATACTACGGTCCTGTTACAGTACCATCCCGTTAGTAGTTTTAACCGTTGGATGCATATGTAGTTATTTATTGCAGGGATAGCAATAAATAAAACCTAATTAATAAAACTTTCATAAATTTTCCATTCATTTTTTTAATTAATGTAGAAATGTTACATTTTACATTAATCAAGTGTAATGACAATTTAAACTAATTTATTATATAATATCACTGCTAATACTAATTGATTATAATTTTACATTAAATAGTATGTGGAAGTTACATACTTATACAAAATTTTATTACAATTTTTTTCTTTAAAATACTTTTTCTAAAATAAAATATTTTTTGTCCTTTTAAGAAATTTTTTATTTAATATTAGTTAATTGGCACGACTGTCATAATTAAACACTTTAAAATCACATAAACAATTGCTATAACAATAATAAAGATAATTATAATATTTTTCTAACCAATTAATTGTATGGTCCCTCTAAACTACAAAATTATATTGTCCACTAAAATTTATGGCATCAATATAAAGATTCATACGTAAGTTATAAGTAATTTATATTTACATTATACAGTTGCATATAGTCAAAAATTAAAATGTAATACATCCATTATCTTTATAAAAATTTAAATATTGTATACGTACATATAATATATAAATTTTTATTTTTCTTTGTGCATGTGCACAGGATGGATACTAGTTATTAATATAGCTAAATAATATCAATCAATCATTCTCACGTAACACATCAATTTTAATAATTATCCTCCCCAACACATTAATTTCATTTCAATATTCATTCACTAATTACATGAACTACCCATCACTCTCAATCACTTCTCTTCAACGTTTATATCAAACCAACTTTAATTATTATTTTATATATTATTTTAATACAAACACAAAATCCTGGTCAAGCATAACTAATCAACTTTAAATTTTAAAATTAACTTTGTTATCCAATCAAATCCAAAATAACTTATATCTAATCACCAAGTTTGGACTCTACTTTTATCCATAATTAATATTTTTTATTATTTAATTTTTCCAAAAAAAACCCAACAATTTTATCAAACATAAAGTTCTTTTCTTTAATAAATGAAAATTCTAATTCTAATAACTACAATTTTTCCATAGTGGAGCCAACCTTCTATATACAACAAGTAAACCATACCATATTAATAAAATTATTTGTATTATTTAAGTGATTAGAGAATATGGTATAGTTTGCTTGTTGATATATAAATTATTGGCTCCACTAACAAATGCCGAAAGGAACAAAAGTTTAGGGGGCGATATGATTGTTTATGATTTGTACAGTAAAAAAATCAATCAAAACTCAAATTTAACTCAACCCCACTATCTCCCATATTATCAATATAATTAAATAATATCAACCAATAATTCTTACACATCACATCAACTTTAATTCACTATACATCCACTCACATAATTTTAACTAACCATCACTTCCAATCTTTTTTCTCCTACTTTACATCAAATTAATTTTAATTATTTTATTAAAATATAATTTTAATATATCCACTAACAAGGCATGATTGTGTATAATTTCAACAGTAAATATCTCACTCAAAACTCAAATTTAACTCAACCTTAACTCAACTCTACTATCTCCAATATTATCAATATAATTAAATAATATCAACCAATCATTATTACACATCACATCAACTTTAATTCACTATTCATTCACTCACATAATTTTAACTAACTATCACTTCCAATCATTTTCTCCTACTTTTACATCAAATCAACTTTAATTATTTTAATTTAAATATTATTTTAATATATCTACTAACAACTAACCATACTACTTTTTTAAAACTTAACTATAGTTAAAAAAAAAAACTAGTTTTTTACTAGTTGAATTCATATCCAATCATCCCCTAACCATACCACTTTTTTTCAAAATTAACTATAGTTAAAATAACAAATCAAATAAAAACTAGTTCAATTCATAAACCATCACCCCCTTAGTGACCCTAAACCAGGTGTGATGCTCTCATTAACCTTCAAATTTTATTTTATTTTTATAAAAATTTTATTTTAATTATAAATATACTAACTTTTACAATTTATGAATAGTTTATTTCAATATAATTTTGGTCATTTTTTTTAACTTGCATTAATTTTAATTTATGGCAAGTATATAAATTGTTTGTTTATAATTTTATTTTAAATATCTTATTTTTTCAGAAAAATAAAATTAAAAGTACTGTAGTAAATAAAGATATAAAATCGTGTCCTCTATTGGTGATCGATCATCTTTGTGGCTTTATTTGAGCCAAAATAACGCAAATTGTCCGGGCAGGAAAACAAAGGTTTACATGACAGCCAGCATCGTGAGGAAGGCAGAAGCAGCAGATTTAAAGCTAATTAATGGTTAAAGAAATCACTCGCCTATCACATTGCCTTTCCGATATTTATGCTAAGTATGACCCCTTCCAACTCAATTATAAAGAAATCACTCGCCCATCACGATTTTTTTTCTAGAATTCAGATTTTCAATAACGTTTCCCTTCAAACTCAAATAATAAAGTTGTGTTTTTCAGCTAAGTTTGAACCCTCTTAATTCCTCGTACCTGGATTTATTTATGATTGTACGTGTATCAAAATGAAGAAGGAAGCCATAAAAGAGTTCTTAATTCTTAAGCTCTAAGGAGTCCTTAAAAATTTGACCATATTTTTCTTTGATGATTTTTCAAAATTTACAATTCAGTCCAATTCACAAATTGAACATACTTTAAAAACTTTTCAACATAATCCAATCTTCAAAATAAATGTATCTTTTTTATATCCCATTATGTGATCCTTGAACTTAAAAGGACCCGAGTAAGCTAGATATTGGGAAAAATACGTTGAGTTTTCCATGAAGTCGAATCTATAAAAGTGAAAGTAAAAATAAAATTGGACACGCCAAATTGATAACGGAGTTCGGCCAATAATGCCTACGTCTCCGGACTACTGCAGATATTTTATTGGAAAAAGAAGTACACTCGTGTTAACAAAACACTCTTAAACTCACTTACAACTCACGACTCAAATACACACAAAAGCTAAATTCTTGCTTCTTGCTCACACCTTTTTTCTCTTTTTTTTTTTTTTTTTTTTTT